CACACCACAGCTCCCTTGGGAGAGTGACGGGTCACTCTCATGTAACCCCGTTACAGCGAGTGTACTGTCCAAAGATGCACCCTGTATAGAACAAGAAGGGATTTGCCCGCGGACGCCCTCGGAACCAGCTAGACTGGGTGTTTTGCGTGTCATAGACACAGGGCTCGTAGAGCGGAGCATATTTAAGGTTGTTTTTAAGAACGCAACGGTGTCTCAGACACGCGAACCTCATATGAGGCGACCGTAATACGTAGGATCACATTTTTGCCGCTATATTAAATTTGGTGCATTCTACACAAAATGTGTATTAGCCGTGTGAAAGAAAAAAAGCAATCATGGTGCACCTCAAGCTGGTCGCGGTGCTGTCCCTAAATTGGATTTTGATCAACGCCGCCGAGGAGAGCCTACATCAGTCGTCAGCATCAGTTGAGTGCAACTTTGCGCACCTTCACCCGCAACGATACGCTGCGTATCACATTTCACCATCAACCTTGTCAAGCCTATCGATCGATGGTATTCTAGATGATGAAGGTTGGACTGAAGTGCCTTGGAGTGAGCCGTTTCAAGACATTCACGACAATGACTTTGAGGTGTTTGATGATGCTGATGGAAGTACGCACAACTACAAAGAGTTTGAGATTAATTCTCGAAATACCACATGGAACCTGTGGCTTAATCGTCCATATAGGGATGACGGTCACGAAAACAGTACTCGAGTGGATCCCCACTACGGTTTTGACATGCTTAATGATGGTATGCGATCGGCAGTCTTTGTGAAAGGAACAATCAACGACCCATATACGTGATGCTCACAAAGATATAGTCGACATAAAAGCTTACTATTCGTCTTTGTGTTTATAAAGCCGAGCGTCTGCATTACTGGAGTGTGGAAGTAGCTTTACCGTTAAAAGCTCTTGCATCATATTCATCTGCCAAAGTTCCTCCAAAACCTTTTTCATTTTGGCGAATTAACTTTTCTCGAGTCGAGTGGCCTGTTCGTGTCGTCACGGATGTCAATACTGGCAATCAGTATTACACGAAGATTGCTGGTTTGAGTGAAGAAAATTGGACTTGGAGTTCACAATATGCTGTGAATATGCATCGGCCAGAATGGTGGGGTTATCTCCAATTTCGCCCACCGGGTGAACTCCCCCCCAAGTATGATGACGATCAACAACACACTGAAAAGGTTCCGCTTGATTCTGAATGGAACATTCGCTACGTCAGTTTCCAGCTTTATTATGCGCAGCATGCATATCGCGATGCGTTGGGGATGTATGCATCAAGCCTGAAGGAATACTTTGCTTCTCAAGAAGCTTTTGGCTGCATAAATTTATTTCATTTGAGCTCCTCAGATGAGTCATTTATGGCTCAAATCGGACTCCGAACAAATCAAAAAGATGCTAGGTCGTTTGAGTTTGTATCCAGCATCAAGGATGATGGTTATATAGTCGTTATGAAGACCGACCCAGGCACGTTTGGTATTTAGCATTTCTACGTAATCAATCAGATTCGTTAACATGGATAATGATTTGATTTGTAGATTTAATCAACTACACACATACGTACAACTAACGATCGCTTATTCTACGAGAAGTACACCCACAAGCTAAATGTGACAGCGAGAGCAGCAAGACCGCTACCAGCGACAAGGGTGTTTATCCACATGGGCTTGGCGAGCTCCGTGGCGTCAAGTTTAAACACTTTGTCCCAGTGGATCATGTACTTGCGTACATCCGCGGCTGGAGGCTTCTTGTGTTGCGTGAGTAAGCTTACCACGACGCACACCAATAAAGCAGTAGTCCATAGCAATAAAGCAAAGTGTTGAAAGTTCATGTAAAAAAACGTATTTAAAAACCCCGGTAGATCCCCATCTAAGCTATCGTCATTGATCGTCACGAAAATCAGACGTGTAAATCCAAGCATTCCTCCCACGACCATAGCTGAGAATGCTCCGTACACATTCGCTGGTTTCCATGTAACGCCAAGTACAAGCACAATCCCAATTGGAGGGGTCAAGTAGCTTTGAATTTCGACTATCTGCTCGTAGAGACCCGTACCATTGCGCATAATAGGGATCCAGCAGAAACTCAGTACGGCAAAGCAAAAGATGCTCATACGACCTACCCACACCAGCTGCTTATGTGAAGCATCAGGCCGGAATTTGAGATAAATGTCGTTTGTCACAACTGAGGAACCAGCAGAGAATACGGATGCAAGACTTGCCATCATTGCAGTAATGATACTAGAAATCATTAGCCCAATGATTCCATGCGGCATCATCTCCATCAGCAAGGTCGGATACGCAGCGTCTGTACCGTCTTCAATTTTACTGAAGTCAAAGTAGATACTAGCGATAATGGCCGGAATAACAATCAAAAACGGTGGAAGCACCTTTAACATACTGGCAAACGAGCACCCAGCTTTTGCATTAGCTGTATCCTTGGCAGAAAGGACACGCTGCACAAGATCTTGATCCATGCACCAATACCAAATTGAACCCAGTGGTTGACCAAAAATCATACCAGTCCATGGATAATCTGGATCGTTGGTTGGTTTCCAGAGATGGAACCATTCTGACCGATTTTGATTAGCCAGGTTTGCACGGATCCCGTCAAAACCACCAATTTGTTTCATTGAGTACGAAAATACCACAAGACCACCCAATGAAAACACACACATTTGAAATAAATCAGTATACATGACAGCACGTAAGCCACCGGCCATACTGTACGTGGCACTAAGAGCGATGCAGGCACCCGCTCCAACGTATAGATTCCATCCTAATGTCGCTTGAAACACAATTGCACCTCCATAAATGCTTGCGCTCATCTTTGTCATAACATACATGATGACCGTAATTAGTGACAAGTAGTGGCGACAAGGAGCGCCAAAACGGTATTCAAGAAACTCAGGTGTTGTGTAGACGCCGCTGCGACGGTAAATAGGGGAAAAGAGCCAACCCAAACATAAGATTAAAATGGCTGCATACCACTCGTACATAGCTACAGCAATACCGCGCCTGGCACCATCGCCTGCCATGCCGATAAAGTGCTCAGCACCAATATTGCTTGCGAACAAGGCACCACCCACAAAGTACCACTGCATACCACGATCGGCAAGAAAAAAGTCGGAAACCTCATTGACTTGGTTATCAGGGCCATCACGTGCGATTAACGAGGCAGATGGGCGATTTTGAGAGGTTGTTGCGCCGCGCTCGTCACCATTAGTTATCTTCTTATCTGGGGTAGCATCCGAAACCATGTAAATGTCAGCAGGCGTTCCAGCTACATTTGAGTCGCTTCTCTTTGACTTTCGTCGAATGCACGGAAGGTATTTGGCCAAACGACTTTCACCAGCCTGTACGGAGGCTACGACAGCCACGGTCAGTGTGCAACACAGAACTGATCCGATGATAAGCATATCGGCCCAACTGACTTTAGCGCTCCTAGACGGATCAGGGACCAATTGCTTGTGGAGCTTTACCATGTTCGTTTGCACTCACGAGGGTAAATCGGAAAATGACAAGCAAGTAATGGTGAGCCGTTAATCTTAACAGGAGCTGACATTGTCCGAATCTGATGCGCATGATTGGGCTACAAGTTGAAGTAAAATGGTGCGAATCAGCTTTATCTATGAAAATGAAATGTTAGTTTATCGTAGTATTTGTTTTTAAATTATGGCTTCCAGTAAAAAAAGCTAATTGTTTACTCGTCAGTTCTTGCATTCTTTAATGGCAATGTAATTCAAAGCTTATCACTCATGACTAATGACTTCTCAATTCTTGCATTTCTTTTAGGCTAGGTTTTGCCGAAGTCGACTGGGGAGTAGTGCCGAATTTTCGAGAACCAAAATTTTCAACCACGCTTAAGTCATAATTTATCATGTCCTCAACGCAGTTTATAATCAAGAATGCACAAAATGAATAATTTGTTCAGGCTCAAACGCTTATATTAAAGACTGAATATGGTAATGCCATATAATCTGAGACAGCCAGAAACTTGAAAAATTTCGACGTCGCCACATTCAGATGACTAACGCAGAGATAAAAGCTGGACACTACGAAGAGTCAGACGAGGTACAGTTTGCGAAAGACTGTCTGATTCTTGAATGTGTCCAGACATCGCTATACTTCAAGTTGATCTAATGCAAAGGATCTGGATATAATCTGATGCACTTCTTCGTACACTATGTATCCGTGAAGGAGTCGATTCTATCCCATTTTCAAGTTTTGAAACAGTCTGCTTCGTGACCAGCCTAATGTATCGCTCGTTTTCATTTTTAACAATTTTGGCATAGCCACAGGTTTTATAGAAATCTAATCTTCCACCCCGCCTCTATGTCTTCGAAATGCTGCTTTATAAGCTCACTGGCCATGTCATCTTCAAGAACATTCCTATGTGACTAAACTTAGAAAGCGTCACTAGACCAACTCATTCGATCATGACGAACGAGAATGTTGCGATGCTTAATATTATTATTCAGCTTCTATCTAAAGACATTTTACTTGCACAAATGACGCACCCGTCGGAACGAGCACCACTTGTTTGCAAGTTAGTTAACCTCGTCCCTGTGCTGAATTCCTATTTACTCTAGACATTTTAGAGCAAATTATGAAAATCATTACCTTGCTGCAGCCATAATTTAATACGCTTCACATGTATTTCACCTACGAAGGTGTGAAATGGCGACGACACTAAACGCTCTCTTTATTGGTATCTATCAATCCACTTTCATATAATGCTCTTAGCGCACTCACCTCGCTGTTTCGGTTGGTCCCACGAAAGCCGGATTGCAAGACATGACGTAAGTATGCGGCGCCTCAAAATCAGAATGGCTCAGCTTCAAGTTGACTTCAAAATTTTGTGAAGACAAATCGAACAGGCCAACCTCAACCAGTACAATCCACATGTAAAGTTGAGTTGATTTGTGGAAGTTCTTACGATATGTACACTCTAATAGCAAATGAAGTTATTGCATTGGCTCGTCTTCAATAGCTGAGGCAGTTTCAAATAATGACAAACCGTAAAGATACTGGATATCTTAATTTTGGAGTTGAGTGCTGGAATTCCAAGCTTTTCTGTATGGTAAGGGCAATGTTAAAAATTCTTGTGAAGCTTAACGATAACACGAGCGATGATATTCTAGCGAAATTGGTAACCCCAGCATGATCAGAACAGAGTCAATCCAATGTTCAAGCGGATCAAGCGATATATATCAGTCCAAACAAAATTCTGCATGGAGCATTTCAGTTTCTGAGTATCTTCTTTTGTTGAAGTTAGATCTGGACTACGAAAGAGGGTTCACTTTGATCACACAGTAATGGAGCACATATCATATTATGGTGTAGGTTCGCTCACGTTGCAATGTTATCAAGCCCAGAAGAACTATAGCACTAGCGAGAGTGGTAGGATTCGTGGTGGAGAGGTTTGTAAGACATGGGTTGCTAGTCTCACGCCATGCAGTTCATATAGCTCAGTTTTTATACACTATACAGTATATATTAAAATAATATCAGGTTCAACTAGACTATTGTACTTTTGAAAAAGCCGAGCTACATAGACAACAAGTTTTAGTAAAGGCTCTCTATTACACTCCTGGTTGAAACGTGCGATTCGATATCTGTGTGTTTGTTAATACAAACACACAGATCCCATGAACTGAGGAAAAAGTTATTAAGAGCTCAGCGTGGATTTGCAGCCTCGTCTCCATGCTAGTTTTTTTAAGATACTGAGGGAGGCTTGGGTAGAAAGGTTCCGTCCCAAAAATATTAACCCTTTAGTTTGGAGCTCTTCCTGTGCAAAATGCCCAATGCTTTGGCTAAACAACTCGGCGCTGAAAAACTCACAGATGATACGCCAGGAACAATGTACGGTCACTACGTACTTAGTCTGTTTTTCTATTCCAAACATGACATTATATTTAACGGATTTTTACGAATAGAAGACCTTCTACTATCACAAGCCCCCATCGAATTTTCGACAATGTTCAAGAAATAAAAGACCGCTTTGATTAAAAGACCTTTTCAAATAAAAGGCCGCTGTAAACACCTTAGCATTGGGCCGTT